TTCGAGACGGCCGATGTCTGGCTCCGCCGCGAGAACCCATTCGGGAGCGCTCTCTGCTGCTTCTCCGCCCCTCCCGCGCCGCGCGCACGACGCGCGAGCCCAAGACCGAGCGCCCCCGTCGAATCGCCGCGGCCGCTGAGCGCGGGAGGACCGCCGCGGACGGCACGTAGGGCCCCCCCCCGGCCGCCAGCAGTGCCCCCGATCACCTTGCAGCGGAAGACACTGCGCAGCTGCGAGATCGACGGGCCTGCCCTCCAGACGCCGCGCCTTTCAACAGACACCCCTGCTCAGACTTCAGGAGGCTCTCAGGCAAGAAAGCGGACTTCACTCCGAGCGCTTTCTTCAAGAGCAGCCTAGGCCCAGGTATACGAACATTCGACACATTCTACAAACCGAAGGAGCTCCAAGAAAACACCCAGGTCCAGTCAGATTCTCGATTTTCTTGGGCGAAACCTGGAGCCCACGAAAATTCACGCTTTTTCTTAAGATTTCTGGTGGGTGCACGCCGCCTCCGTAGCCTTCGCGCGAGCTGCCGCCGCGGGGAACCGAGCGCCTCGGTGGTACACCCGAGCTCCGAGAGGTGCCGCGCCGCGGGAAGGCCCGACGCCCGCGCGCGCCGCGCGGCCCGAGGAACCGGCGCAGGGTCACAGTGGAGCCACGGCCGCGCAGCGGCCAAGAGGGCCCGAGAGGCGACCAAGAGGCCCCAAAAGAGAGGCCCCCCGAGAGCCCCCCAACAGGCCCCCAAGACGCCTCCACGAGGCCCCAAAGGTACCCCCGTCGGCGTTGTGCCCGCCCTCGCCGTCGCCGTCGCCGTCGCCGTCACCGTCACCGTCACCGTCGTCGTCGTCGTCGTCGTCGTCGTCGTCGTCGTCGTCGTCGTCGTCGTCGTCGTCGTCGTCGTCGTCGTCGTCTTCAGGGCCGGCGGCACCGGCCGTGAGGCCCTCGCAGACACCGGCGCAGGCCCCCAGTTGAGCCACGGCCGCGCAGCGAGAGCAAGGCCGCCTGCTCACCGAGGTTCCGCGCAGGTCTGTGGCGCCCGAGAGCAGCGCCGAGGTGCCGGCCCGAAACGGCTCCGCGGGCTCCGCGCTCCTGCCGGCGACACGCTCGGCTCCGTCGTCCGCGAACTCCCTCGGGCTCGGGTCGACGCTCTGGGTCGCTGCCAGGTGCGTCGCGCTGGGCAGGCGGGAACCGTCGTGCGCCTGCTCATAGACCAGGGTCGTCTGGAACCCTCTCGCAAACTCCGCGGGCCCGGTGGAGTCGCCAATCGGCGTGGCCGAGCCACAGGTGCCGCCTCCCGCGGCAACGGCGGAAACGTCGGGCCTGGACGTGTGCCCTTGCGGGCCACTGCAGGCCCCCCCCCCCCGCCCAGGCCGGGAAGCGCCCTCCGCGCGCAGGCCGTGCCGCGACGCGCGGGCCCTCCGCGCCGCGGCCCGCCCCGTGCTCGACGGCGGGGCCCGCGCTGCCGCGGAGGTCGACGCCTCCGCTCGCCGCCGACGGCCTGCCCGGAGCAGGTGCTGGCACCGTCGCTCCCGTCGGTCGCCGAATGGTGGCGTGCGGCGCGCGGCCAGGCCGCAGATCGCCCCGCCCGCACGCGAGGAGAGCGCCGCCGCCGTCGACGAGCAGGTCTCTTCCTGCTCCTGCTCCTCCTCCTGCTCCTGCTCCTGCTCCTGCTCCTCCTCCTCCTCCTCCTCCTCCTCCTCCTCCTCCTCCAACCCGTTCTCCCCGTCCTCCTCCTCCTCCTCCTCCTCCTCCTCCTCCTCCTCCTCCTCCTCCTCCAACCCGTCCTCCTCCTCCTCCTCCTCCTCCTCCTCCAACCCGTCCTCCTCCTCCTCCTCCTCCTCCTCCTCCTCCTCCTCCTCCTCCTCCTCCCGCGCGCGTGGGGAAATGCGGGGTCGCAGCCAAGACGTCGAAGGAGCCCCGCCTGAGGCGAGCGGCGCCGGCACGGCCCTGGAACCGAGGCGGCGGGGAGAAGGTCTTCACCAGTCGGCAGCGCGCTTTCGCCGTGATGCCCCCACGCCGCAACTCTTGCTGCACATGCGCCCCAGGCCGCACCCCCAAGACAACAAAAAACGCGATGCTGGACCGTGCGGGACGTCACCGCAGGCCCTCCCTCCCAGGGCCTGAAAACGTCCCCTGCAGCCCCTGGAAATCCATCCCGGCGAAACGACTCGCCAGCCCAGCCGCCCTCCACTCCTGCCGCATGTCCGGCGGCGAGCGAGGGGGGGAAGCGAGAAGGAGAAGGCCTCCTCCGAAGCTTCGAAGGTTTCCCGAGCCTTCCCCGAAGGCAGAGAGACACTCCTTGGAAGGCGCGAGGGCTTCTGAGCAGTTCGGCCGCCTTCCGAGAAGGCCTTCTCCTTCGCACTCTCCCAGCACACGAGCTTCATAGCGCCGAACGCGTCCAGCCCAGCAGCCGCCCCAGCCGCGGCGGCCGCCCACCGTTCGGGCGGGGCCGCCGCCGCCCGCGCCTCCCAGACGGCGCCACGGCTCGCAGCTAGATCGAGGCCAGCATGCTGCGCACCAGGCCTTCAAAACTGTCTGAGCTGTCAGCGCCAGAGGAGGAGGAGGAGGAGGAGGAGGAGGAGGAGGAGAAGGAGGAGGAAGAGGAAGAGGAGGAGGAGGAGGAGGAGGAGGAGGAGGAGGAGGAGGAGGAGGAGGAGTACCCGTGTTCACACGAGACGCATCGACGATGTTGCAATGCACCATCCCTCCAAGCTTCCTCATCCCATGCCTTTGCAGACATGTATTTTCATTGCGGGGGGGCCTCATTGGAAGACAACCGTCTGAGAATGTTCAACCTTACCGAAAACCGTCCCTGGGTTTTCAACGCCACGGATCAACGTGACCGTCGCGCCCTGACAATATTAAATCCTACCAGAATGCCGCTTCTGGGACTGCGACACGCGAATTAACGTGACCGCTGCGTCCTGACAGTTCTAAATATTGCCAGACCACCAGTCCTGGGACTTCAACAATACGCCACCTGGAAGGCGCTGCGAAGGTTTAGGACGGGTGCGCGCGGCGCTGAAGCGAGAGCGGTTGCAACCTTTTTGGGGACGAACGCGGGCGTCGCCGAGGCCAACGCCACATTCTGAAACCGGTCCGCCCTCCGGCCTCGAAGCTGCGTGGACAATTTCAAAAAACGATTGCGCGAGGCGGTAAGTAAAGCGAGAATCGCATTTTGAAAGCGGCCCGCCCTCCATCGTTACACGCGCTGCAAGCTTTCCGTACGAATGTGTGCGGCGCCAATGCGAGAGCCACGTCTTGGAAATGGCCCGCCCACGATCCTTGAAGCCGCCGTGCATGTCAAGCTTCAGGGTCTCTGATGGCGGGGAAATCCAAAGTGAAACGCCCGGCCTGCCCTACTGACATGTCTGAGGGTGCGGCAGGGAGGAATCACTGAAAAAGAGGATGGAGCGAGCATGACAAGGACAAGGACAAGGACAAGGAGGAGGAGGAGGAGGAGGAGGAGGAGGACGAGGCGGGGGAGAGGGAGGAGGTGGCGTGCCCCACGGGGGGAGGAGGAGGAGGAGGAGGGAGGAGGAGGAGGAGGAGGAGGAGGAGGAGGAGGAGGAGGAGGAGGAGGAGGAGGAGGAGGAAGAGGAGGAGGAGGAGGAGGAGGAGGAGGAGGAGGAGGAGGAGCAGCAGCAGGAGCAGGAGGAGGACAGGGCAGGGTCGGGGGCGCGAGGGCCACCGCCGCCCACCTCCAGGTGCAGGCAGGACCTCGGCGCGCCCCTCCGTGGGGCGCGGCGGGGAGCCTCTGCCCAACTTCTGCCCGTGGCGCCGCCCCGCGGGCACGTCGCCGAGGGGGGGGGGAGGGCACGCGAGTGCCCCGCTGCAGAGCACGCGGCGCCGCGCCAGGCCCGCACCGTGCAGCGGGAGGAACCCACGGAGCCTGAGGCTCGGGACGAAGGCTGCCAGGAAGAGCGCCCCTTACGACTGCACGGCCCCCTCCAAAGGGTCTCATGGTCCACCACGAGCCCACGACAGCAGGAGGCGGGCGCTGTGCCAGGGCTGAACCTAAACAGTGCTTCCCGTTTTCGTGTTGTTGTTGTCGTTTCCCCTCGTGTTGTCTTCGATCAACCTCCACCGCAGAACGGAGTCGAAACGAGAACGGCCCACGGAATCGCCCAAACACCGTCTAGGTCTGGCCCCGTGCTGTGCTTCCGACGCGTGCTCACTGTGCGTCCGCCGCGCAAACGGAGCAAGCGGGACCACAGGGCAGACGCAGCACGATCGGGCGAGTCCTCTGGACCCTTCCGGGCGCCTGTGCGACTCTGACCGTGAGTACTGCTTCTCGGCGCCATGGTGCGGCGGCAATGCGCACACACGTGCGTACCAGCGAGGCCTCGGCCACCGCACTGCATATGCGAGGGACCCGCACGAAAAACAGGCCAGCAATATGGTCGGGGTGCTCAAAGTGCCTGCGGCAATGCGCCTCGTGGCCTCTGGGGCCAGCCCCAGCCTCAGCCACTGTAGCGTATATCATGCATGTATGTTCTAGGTGCCAGGGCACTTCTACTAACGTGTTACTGCTCCTAGCTGCTCGAGGGATCCAACACGCCCAAGGCAGATCGCATGACGCCTTTGCCATCTTTACACTTGCCCTCACGTGGCCATGATTGCCACTGGGCTCTTGGGGGCATCTGGCAGCATATGCGAGGACAGCGAGGCGGGGAAGTATGGGAACGGAGATGAGGAGGAGGAGGAGGAGGAGGAGGAGGAGGCGGAGGAGGAGGAGGAGGAGGAGCGTGGTGAGGAATCGAAGAATCGAGGCGTCCTCAGATCCCCCGAAGACGAAGCACCAAGGAGGAGGAGGAGCAGGAGGAGAAGAAGAAGAAGAAGAGCGATGAGGAGGTGAGGAGGGAGGCGGAGCTTGTGGGAGAGGTGGACGAAGAGGTCGGGCAGGGGAGGAGGATGAGATGGAGGAGGAGGAGGAGGAGGAGGAGGACGAGGAGGAGGAGGAGGAGGAGGAGCGCTACTGTGCTCCCCCTTCCCTTGGCCCCGATCCGCGTTGAGGTCGGCCGCGAGCGCGTCGTACGCCTCCTGTGCGTGCGTGCGATCGGGGCGAGTAGCGACGGAACGAGCGGGTGATCAGGCCGCCGCGTCCGGGCCGGCGCGTCGCTACTCATCGCCGTCGTCGTCGTCGTCGTCGTCGTCGTCGTCGTCGTCGTCGTCGTCGTCGTCATAGTTGTAGTTGTTCCACCTCTACCTGAACCTCCCCCTCATCCTCTGCCTCCCCATCCTCCTCCTGCTTCTCCGCTCCTCTCCCCTCCGCCTCTGTACGCGCTTGGCTGCGTCTCCTTTGCCTTCAGCTCGGCTGCGTCGGCGCTGGCTATGTCGCGCAGTATGTCCTGGGATGCACTTCGAGCAGGTTGAAGTGAAGCAGGCGTGGAGTGGCAAAGAAATAAAAGGATAGAGAGGGGAGGAGGAGGCGGAGGAGGCCTAGGAGGAGGTGGACGGAAAAGGAGGGGGAGGATGGAGGCAGGAGGAGGGACGGGGATGGAGGAGGAGCAGGAGGCTGACAGAGTGGACGGTGGAATACGGTGGTCAAAATAAGAAAGAGGTGCTAGAACACACGGCAAACACATGGCATAAACATCACAGTTGGACATCCGTACCTCTACAACGCAGTTCGGAAAGCTCTGTGAGTGCATTCTGAAACTGAATAGATAGGGAATGCCACCGCGTGGAGAAACTAAGAGCAGAAGACACTGAAGGATGCGGTGACGAGCTGTGGAATGCAACGATCACCTTCAACAGCGCACGCCAGCAGGTCATGTTATGAGTAAGCCACACGAGAAGGCGGCCGTGATGCACAGTATGCAAGTCCAACGTCAACACCCTGGCCAAGTCTAGAGCACCGTCAATGTGGGTGCCACCGCCTGGGAGGTATGCTCTGTGGTGGTGTGCGATCACTTTGAAGGAACAAGCGCTGGTGCGAACGACAAGGCTGGAGTAATTCGGTGGCAACTCACCAGAGCCTCCCATACCATCTTGTCGGCTCTTGCGAATCGACGCTAGTCGACGCTAGATCGACGCCAGTCGACGCTAAATCGACGCTGGCCGACGCTGTCCCATCGACTCCCAGACGCGAATCGACGCCAGTCGACGCTGAAGACGGAATCAACAGGGCACGCCAGGCCCCCGTGAGTCGCTGCCGAGAAACACTGCTCCACCCGGAGCGCTGCCCACTCCCGCGGCCTCTCCTTCCACCCCTCCCTTCTCCACATCGCTCCTCCTCCTCGTCCTCCCTCCTCCTCCTCCCTCCTCCTCCTCCTCCCCAATCCCTTCCTACTTCCCTCAATCTTTCTCCCCCTCTCTCTCTCTCTCTCTCCCCTTCTGCCCTCGCATCCCTCTGGCGTGCAGGCCACGGCGAGCGCGACCCGGGCCCCCTTTTCCGCTCCCTGCGTGCGCTGCAGGCGGGAGCCCGGGGATTGGTGTTGCTTATGAGGAGGAAGGAAGGAGGAGGAGGTGGAGGAGGGGAGGAGGAGGGAGGAGGAGGAGGAGGAGGAGGAGGAGGAGGAGGGAGGAGGAGGAGGACGGAGGGAGGAGGCGGAGGAGGAGAGGAGGGAAGGAGGGAGGAGGGAGGAGGAGGGAGGGAGGAGGGAGGAGGGAGAGGGGGAGCAGGAGGAGGAGGAGGAGCGACAGCCCCATAAGCCCCCTGCGCGCGGGGCAGGGCCACCTCCGCCCTTCGCAGCAAACCTCCGCCCCGCGCCTCGACGACTGCTCACGCTCCTCCCTCCTCCTCCTCCTCTCCCTCCTCTACTCCTCATCCTCATCCTCCTCCTCCTCCTCCTCCTCCGCCTCCCTCCGCCCCGCGCACGGGCGGAGGCAGAGACCCCCATCGCGCTCAGCGTGTGCGACGGTGCCGGCTCCAGACGCCGGCTGGCACGAGGTGGGCTCTTCTCCACGTGCCGGGGGCCGCCGGCGGGCGGGAGGACGAGGGGGTGAGTGAACGGGGCATGGGGCCTGGCGCCTGCTGCACAGGAGTCAGCGCGATCAGCCGTGCCCCCCAGATGCCTCCCGACCTGAGCGATTGCTCGAGCATGCGCACGAGACAGAGCGCGAGGGAGAGAGAGAGAGAGAGAGAGAGAGAGCGCGAGAGAGACCCGGACTTTGCCCGAACGCGTCCTCCTTGATCATTGACAGGATCGCCAGGATGCCGGTGCTGTCCTCCCCTGTTTGGTTTCATCCCCTGTCTACTGGTGGCATGCAGGCGACGGCGAGGCGAGGGGATCGACCCTCCTTTAACGGGCGAAAAACGGTATAAAATAAACTTTTTCCCCGTCGGGGAAAAAGTTTATTCTATACCGTTCTTCGCTCGGCTGACTCCTGAAAGGCAGGGTTGTTCTTGGAGTCTTAGCAGGGTGTACCCCCTTCTTATGGGCTCCTGGAAGCCAGGAGCGCTTCTGGGTGACGGGGTGTCTTCGGATAAGACCCCCCTGCTCCAGCAAAGGGCACGCCGACGACGACGACGACAATGACGACGACGACGACGACAACGACAACGACAACGAAGACGACGACGATGGCGACGACGACGACGGCAACGCCAGTAGCAGCGGCGATGATGACGACCCCGAACGGCCTCCAGATGCGAAGAAGCAGCCAAACAACTAGCAAAGTCATAGACGCTAGAACCCTCGAAGTTTCAAAAGCATCCCAAACGGCCGAAAGCGCCAAATAACGGCCAATCAACTCGAAGCCTCAACGACGCCGCCGACGACGACGCAGACGTCGACGCCGACGCCGACGACGACGACGACCGGTGCGCGTGGCGAGTGCACGCCGCGGATCGCAAGCCAGATCGATGGAGGCGCGCGGCTCCGCGCTCGAAACCCTTGGTTGAAAGCGGCCCCGACGATGGGAATGGGGGGGAGGAAGTCTTCCTCACCTCCTCCTCCTCCTCCTGCTCCTCCTGCTCCTCCTCTTCCTCCTCCTCCTCCTCCTCCTCCTCCTCCTCCTCCTCCTCCTCCTCCCCGTGCCAATGCTGCTCCAGACTCGTCTTGGGGAATCGGCTGGGGACGCACGGGGCGCCAC